CTAAATAGATTCCTCATGTGGCATGCTTTTTTTTAACTTAAAGCCCATTGCAGACACTCAGCCCCTCGATGAGCCTGCAATATGCTGTCCTAATGCACACTTAGCATCAGCCTTTCAAAGGGCAAGGGAGCGTGGCAAGTCCCTGCAGATAGCAGCGGGAGCAGCGGTGTTAGCCAGCACGCGGGTCTCTTCCCCAATGTCCCCGTTAGCCGTAATAGCACAAAGGCCAGGACACCTGCAGAACAGCTGGCATTTTCAGAGTGCTGCTGCGGTGACGTGAGAGCTTCCTCAATTTCTGGGTAGACCGAGCTTCAGTGCGAATGCGATCTCGGCTGGGGCATAACCATCCTCAGAATTTCCCCTGCGCTTACAAACTCTCCAGTAAACACAGTGTTTACAGTTGCTCCATTTCTTGGATCGCTGTATTGCTGGTAGGAGGCATCAGCCAAAGGTCGCCCGTTCCCATGCAACTCTTCTTTTTTGGTCTCTCTGGGCTTTGGTGTGAATCAAAAGAGCAAAAATCTTTTATTTCCAGATCAAAACAGGTTCAACCGAAGAAGGTTTGTTAGGCATGCTAGGTAGCAGCGTTAAGTTGGCTGTGTGAGTGGATTTCTGAAAGATCGGCTTCTTCCTGGGAAGGGAAGCGTGATTTCTTTTTATTTCAGAAGTTTTAGTATCATTTACCTTTCAGCCTAATCTGGGTGTTAAATGACATAAACTGGGAATTTACTACATGACGCCATTCATTGTATATCCTTTTTAGCGTAGGTGACTGATGTGTATGTCAAGTGGGTGGGAAGGAGCGTGCAGTAACGCTGTTGACTTGGCTTACTGGTAGTGAATTGCAACGCTTCTCTGGTGCTTAAATACATGCTTAGCAAACCCGGCTATTGGAACTGGCTTGGCATGTTAGCTCTGGCTGGGTGAGACTCCTGCAGCCAAGGCGGAGGGGATGGAGCGGTGAAAGAGTCCCTTCCCCTGGCTGTAAGCACACCGGGTGGGGTGCGCTTACCGTGCTGGGGGTGGTGGGAATGGATGCAGTGCGAGTGATGACTCAGCGTCAGACTCAGCCCCCCGCACCGCAGGCGTGGGGTTGATTCAGACGCCTTGCGGGCTGGCTGTCGCACGCCGGCAGCCTTGCTCTCGCTGGCTTCACACTGAATGCTGAGTGGGGATGGCGGAGTCAGCTGAGCTGACTTGTTGTGGAGCTTAGGTCGAGGCAAAGCTCCTCAGCAGCCTGGACACAGACACCCCGAGCTGTCTGCCTCTCTTTTGGGGCCACCCTACATTGGGGCTGGTCCACAGCTGGGAAGCGCACACTGGCTGACCTCCCACTGCAGGCAAGCTTTGCTCAGCGAGCTTCATCCGATGTATGGAGGGGCTGCACTGTTTCTAGATCTGGGTTTTGGTTCTGCCTGAGGGCAGCTGTGATCTCCCGCTTGGTCTCCAGGAGCCCTTTTGGCAGTCCCGCACGCGCCATAGGTTACATACCCTCTACAAATCAATCTGCCAACAATAAACTGGCAATCAGATCATCTGTTGGAATGCAGCCATGAAATAATCCTAGGCCACCAATGCTGCACTGGCTTTCCCCAACAGCTGGCCTTTAACGATTGCTTCCAAAAGGTCAGGAAAGCCATCAGAAGCTCCAATTAGCTGTGACTGGCCTGGGGGACAGAGTGACACAGATGCATTTTGAATAGGACGAAGGACTTAGCAAGGAGACAACATTTTTCCCAGTCACTTCTCCTCTATTAATGCCACCTCACTCCCATCCGGCTGTGCTTTGCCCTTCTGCTGAAGTCCATCAAGCACCAAGAGCTGAGTTTCAGCTGGGTCAGCATGCTGTGGGGAATCAGGCCTCTTCTCTTCCCCCTCAGTGGTGGCCCACCATCACAGCACCTTCCTTTGGGGGCAGGGAGCTTCGCAGAGAAAGGACTCACAGTCCTCACATCTGCCTATCACCCATTTCTTCTCCTTCCACACCCACCCTTCTTCAGACCAGGCTCCCTTTTTCTACAGTCTTTGACTTTGTCATCCGTACACCAGTGCCTCCCAGGAAATACAGCTTCCCTGCCCTTGGCACCCTTCGTCCTCCCGCTTTGTGCCAGAGGATGCCCTGCCACTGCCTTCTCCAGCCTTTCCTGACTCTCATTCTGAAACGGTTACTCTCTTCTCAGACCTGCTTCAAGTGCATTTGTAGAAGCCTTTGCTGACATGTTTACTGCAGTACAGCATGAATCATTTTGCTCCTCTAGTTCTCAGCATTTCACAGATCTCCTCTCTTCCCCCTTTTGCCGGTTCCTTTGCGGGCCCTTCCTCAGATGTCTTCTGGAGGGGGAAGGAGCAGAGAGAGGAACACTAGCAAAGCCAGCTACAAAGCTTTCAGGGAGAGAGGGGCCTGTGCTGACTGAGGCAGCACAAACTGGGAAGGCAGAGGAGGAGGGAGCAGCCTGGTGCAGGGGAAGGACGTAAGACGTTTCATCTGGGGAGCACTATCTGGCTCACGCCCTTCACAAAGGAGGAGCTGTTTGGGATCAAAGTGCTGTTCAGCTGAGGGATGTTGTGACACAAGATACTACGTGGCAGTTATCTTCTGTGCAGGGTGTTACTACAGCATCCTTTTGACTCTACTGTGGTGCAAGGCCACCTTTGCCCTGAGGCATCCTCTTGGTCTTTGTGGCAGGCTGATACTGGCTGGACACCAAGTGCCCACCAAAGCTGCTCTATCACTCGCTTCCTCAGCTGGACAGGGGAGAGAAAATACAATGAAAGGCTCATAGGTTGAGATAAGAACAGGGAGATGCATCATCAATTACCGTCATGGGCAAAACAGACTCGACTTGGGGAAATCAGTTTAAATTATTACCAGTCAAATCAGAGCAGGATAATGAGAAATAAAACCAAACCTTAAAACACCTTCCCCCCACCCCTCCCTTCTTCCCGGTCTCAACTTCACTCCTGATTTTCTCTACCTCCTCCCCCTGAGCAGCGCAGGGGGACAGGGAATGGGGGTTGCGGTCAGTTCATCACATGTTGTCTCTGCCACTCCTTCCTCCTCAAGAGATGACTCCTCACACTCTTCCCCTGCTCCAGCGTGGGGGCCCTCCCTCAGGAGATAGTCCTCCATGAACTTCTCCAACGTGGGTCCTTCTAACAGGCCTCAGTTCTTCATGAACTGCTCCAGCGTGGGTCCCCCACAGAGTCACAAGTGCTGCCAGCAAACCTGCTGCAGTGTGGGCTCCCCTTTCCACGGGTCCACATCTCCTGCCAGGAGCCTGCTCCAGCGTGGGCTTCCCACAGGGTCACAGCCTCCTTCGGGCACATCCACCTATTCCGGTGTGGGGTCCTCCACAGGCTGCAGGTGGATATCTGCTCCCCCATGGACCTCCATGGGCTGCAGGGGGACAGCCTGCCTCACCATCGTCTTCACCACAGGCCACAGGGGAATATCTGCTTCGGCGCCTGGAGCACCTCCTCCCCCTCCTTCTTCACTGACCTTGGTGTCTGCAGGGTTGTTTCTCTCAGATATTCTCACTCCTGTCTCCAGCTGCTGCTCTGCGGGTTTTTTTCCCCCTTCTTAAATACGTTATCACAGAGGTCCTACCACTGTCGCTGATGGGCTTGGCCTTGGCCAGCAGCAGGTCCATCTTGGAGCCAGCCAGCATTGGCTCTGTCAGACATAGGGGAACCTTCTAGCAGGTTCTCACAGAAGCCACCCCTGTAGCTCCCCCCTGCTACCAAAACCTTGCCACGCAAACCCAATACAGTCTTGCAGGAAGCTGTCCGTACCTCTGACATTGCCATCCATCCATCTGCCTCATGCTTCTTTTAGGTATCCTGCAGTCTCTAACTGCCCAGCCCTGAGCTGCAGCCCTGTTATGTCCAGTTAGTCCCAGTAAGGATCAGGTCTGTATGCCCTGGGAGACCCTTACCAAGCCTAGGCACTCTTGTTGAACCCAGAACTCAAGGACCAGACTCCTTCTCTGCCTCTTTCAGACTGGTGGGACTGGAAAGGGAACTGTTAGGACTTCCAGGCAATAACCATACACGTGGGATCCTGTCGGCTGAGAGCGCTGGTCCTGCGGTTGGGGTAGGAAACAGCAAATGGGAAATTTTGGTCTGGGAAAGCTCTGCAGAGCTAATAGGACTGGACATCCTGCCTTCTGCTCCAGGCTGGTTCTTTTATCTCATATCTGCTTAGGCTCAGTGTGGTCTGAACAGGTCTGACCCATCTCATCAGTTAATGGATGTTTGGAAGGAGTTCAGCTGGCGAGTAATTGGGAAAAGCAGAAAAAAACTCCAAATAGACTTACAGTGTGTTCATCTGTAAAGCATCTGTCTTTAAAGAGTCATAAGAACAGGCATACTGGATCAAACCAGGGGATGGTCTGGCCCAGTATCCCATCTCTGATGGTGGCCAGAAGCAGATGCTTGGAGAAGAGTAGAAAAACAATGCAGGTATGTGTGTTTCTTTCTTGCAGCACTGTCCCTGCCTCTAGCTGTGTTCAACTCACAGTGAGCCAGATGTGGTTTCTGTGCACAGAATCATTCTCAAGGGGTTTCTCTTCCATGGACTTGTCCTGGAACCTGCACAGACTCTCAGCATCCACAACATCCCATAGCAAGGAATTCCCTAGTTCAACTGTGGACCATGTGAAGAACCATTGTTTTCCTTTCTTTAAACTCATCTCCTGCCAGCTTCACCTGTTTCTTTTATTGGAAAAGACAGTAAACAATCAATTCCTGTCCATCCTCTTCAACAGCACTCTGAATTAACACCATCTTATTATCTGCTTATTATATGTGGTAACTAGAGACGTCTTTGTAGAAGGCAGTGGATAAAGATAAGGCTGAATAATAGTCATTTTGCTGCAGTGCTTCCAGTCCAAGCAGAGGAGGTAGGCAAAGGGCAGAGGCCAAGTGCATTACAGGAGAGCAGTGTGAGCAGACCATTCTTATCGCTGCCCTCTTTCTAAAGCTGCCTTTTTCTTTTGCAGGTAGCCCAGCTGGAAAATGTGGTGGTGATGCTCAAGCAATTTTCCTCTTGCTTCTCCTGAAGAAGTGTGTCCTGAGCAGGATGCAGCAGCCAGCGGATGGTGACAGGAGCACAGCCATTCCCTTGCTGTATCCATCCCAGGCCAGCTGCACTGCTGACCGCATCATTAGCGATCCCGAGTGGTCCCTCGCCACTGTCCCCAGCCTCACTGAGCTCTGCCTCCAGCACATTGTTCACAATTTTGAAAGTAAGCGGGACCACATTTCCCCTGGGACACATGGAGAGAGAGCATCAGTCCTGGAGAGCAGAGGGTCAACAAGGCAGGCAGATGTATCTGAAAGGCAGAGTGTGGTACCCAGCCCTGCCAAAGGAACAGACAGGGAGAAATATCCCCTCAGGAAGCTAGTTAAACAAACTGTTTAGTTGCTAAGTATGTACTTGTACACTCCAGGGATGGCTGTAGTCCTCTGGGCTGCTATCCAGGATGTGATTCTGCCCTAACCTTGCCCTACCGTTTCTTCTTCCTTCCCTGCTCTGCTGGACTCACTTACCTCAACCGTGGCCAGGGCTGTGGAGTCGCTGTTTCCTTCTCTTGATTCATGCACGCGTTATGATAGCACTCAAGGATGGAACCCCATTGTGCTGAGTGCTGTACAAAGAGATGGAGAATTGCTCCCTGCTCAGAGGAGCTACCGTCTCAGAATACGTATTGTACTCACAGTCTCAGGCCTTCTCCACGGCTTTTGGTGGTGACGTGACAACTTATATCCTCAGGCAGGGAATGTGCTTTTGAAGCAGGTGAACTGATGAAACACAGCAAAACAGAAAAAGCATGTCTTATCTGGGAACTGACTGGGAGGGGGAAAGGAAGGGTCTATCTGTCTTTTTGGCTGACTCAGTGCTAAGTGGCAGCAAAGACCAAAGACAGGTCTGAGGCTATGTCCACATTGGAACTGTAAGACAGTACAGAGGAGCTTGGTGCTGCCTGATGCCAGGAGCTGATGGTACTTGGGGGCCTGAGCTGGGACACTCTTGCAGTCCTATCAGCCTGGTCAGTCAGTCCGATGCCAAATGGATTGGGCCTGTGTTGTGTGCACATGAAAGCAGTGTGCTCGGTGTCTTGGGGACCTTCGTGGCGTTACCTGAGCTGTGCAGCTGCATCTTGCACACTGCTGTGGCCTGAGTGAGCCCGAGTGAAGCTAGCCCAGTTCTGCCCATACGTGTCCCACCTCTGCTTGTGTCATGGGACTTTGCAGAGAAGGTCACTGCAGTGCCAGCTCTAGGACACTGGAGAACAGACTCCAGGAAGAGGCTGTGGTAAAACTCTGGGTGTCCTTAGGAATGAAATGCCACAGAGAGAAAGGAAATATAAAGCTAACCCCACTTTGTGTCTCAAAATCTGATTTCCCATGTGCAGATAGGCTTCTCCACTGATGATTTCTGTTACTCAACACTACTGTGTACATGGCACCAAGCATTCATGGTGTGAGTACGCACGGCTTTTCTCTGGCATTTCTTACCGCAAAGAACTTCCAGCTGAGTTCTTAGGGCAAGTATGAGGAAAGAGACTGCGGGGAGAAAGCTCCTCGGAAAAGAGAACTGTTATTTAAACAAGGTGGACCTAAAGGCTACGAGTGTGTCTCAGTGGAAACAAACAGGAATCAATTTGGGGTAAGACAGACACCTGAGTTAAGATAAAAAGGCACAAGGACTTGCATGAAGAGCACACAGACAGTTGTTGTCAAATACTGTCCTTCAATATGCTTAGAAACCAAAGGGAGACAGTTCAGCAAATGACAAGCCAAGCTCTCCCATTGCTGTAAGGCTGAATTAGCTCTCTTAGGAGCAGAAGTCCTGCTCTGAATATAAACTGCATTCAAACGAAATTTAAACTGGGAGCTAAGTTTCTGATGTAGTTCCCAAATACTATGGGAGTAAACCCAATTACACTGATGTTTTATTGTGGAAGTTAGAAATCCTACACAGAAATGTAGGAGATGAATCCTACACATTTTCTGCCTGCTTAGCTCCCTACACCAGCCGCTGGCAACTGAGAAGAGAGCCAGTATCAGCAGAGGGGAGGGCATGGGCACACAGCTGGTGGCCTGGGCAGAACCATAGGGCCAACCATGGTTCCTACAGCCCAGACCAACCTCTTCTTCTCTTCATCCCCTCCAGAGAACCCTATTTTGGACCGTCTTCTGCCTGAGCACCAAAGGAAGGTGCTGGACAGGCTCTCCACTGGCCTTCCGCTTGCTGTGACTGCCAACCTAATAAGCGATGAGGACTACTGGAAGAGGTGCTGCACTGATCGCTGGCAAGTGTGTGACATCTCCAACTATGGAGGCAGCTGGAAACGGATGTTCTTTGAACGTCACCTGGAGAACATCCTGAAATGTTTCATCCCTAACACCACAGACCCCAACCAGATCCTAGACCTGATCCCGCTCTGCAAAGACTATGTGCGGAAACTGGAGGTTGATCAGTTCCTGCCACCAGTGCAGGTGGATCAAAAGGAGGAGAGGGATGACCTCTCTGATACAGGGAGTGATTTTGGATTTGGCAAGGTCTCCATGCATCACTATGACCTGGGAGTCCTCACTACTGCTCTCCCTCACCTTGAAGAGCTTCATCTCACTTATGGCGTGAAGGATTGCGGCATGAACTTCGAGTGGAATCTCTTTAACTTCACCCACCAGGACTGCTGCAACCTGGCTGTCGCCCTGAAGATGTGCCACAACTTGAAAGTAATGTATCCCAAACTGAACCTTCCTTCCTCAGCTAGATCTTCAAATTGCCTGGGGATAGAAACCCAGGGACCGGTTTTGCTTGCTGGCAGCACCCTTCCTTTTGCAAGTTGCAGTCTGGCAGAGTGCAGAGATGTTAACTTGCTGGCCTAGTGCTGAGTGTCTTGTTCTGCATATGTCCTTGTTAGAACAGGTTGTCAGAGGGGCGGTGAGAAAAATACTTGCTCCCACAAAACATGTTCCCTGTAGCACAAGAGAAAGCAACACTCCTGTTTTAACTCCTTGTCGTGGTTTAGCCCCAGCCAGCAGCTAAGCACCATGCAGCTGCTTGCTCACTCCCCCTACCCCGATGGGAGAGAATTGGAGGAGTGAGAGTGAGAAACACTCCTCGGTTGAGATAAGAACAGTTTAA